TTTTAGAAATCACCAAGGAAAATGCTTCCTCACTATAATTCAAAAAACATTATATGCTTTTTATAGAATAAAAATATTATATGCTTTGAGGACATTTTTCTTAATAATTTCTCACTCACTCTAAAGCATATGAGACTTGCCCTTCATCTCAAATCTCTCCAAATGCCTCTCAGAAACTTTTAATCGCAATGTCATCGTAAACGGATCTGCTAGGTTATTTTTCAATGCAATCTTCGGCATCATCACATCACCTCTCTTGGTCTCTGATTAGTTGATATTTATTTTCTGAGACCTTATTTTAAGAGATAAGATAGAGTTTCTCTAGGACTCTGATAGGTGCTTTATAAATGGGTGGTTGTAGAAAATTAAAGAACACATTCTTTTTAGTTTCTCCATTAGCTGTAGGTGTGTAGCATGCTTAGTGTAAGCATGTATTACGCAGTTTATTAGCATGTAACATTCTGCTGATGGGCGTACAATAATTTCCTAAATTTCCAGTAATTTGAGGAACCAGTCGCTCTCCCTTGCTTAGATTCTCTCCAAGACTTTTCCCAAAACAGCTCTTTACTGTTATGTTTACAATCCCACCCCTTATACAACTGATTACAATTTATTCACATAACCACACGATCAAACCAGTAAGCAAAATTAGTACCCAACCAATTACACACGCCTATGCCTCCTAACAAACACTTTCCTAAATAAATGCCTATCAGTCAACTCCTTTATTAAGGTTAGAGTTTACCAGAAAACCTTAAAAAGCGCCAACACATAAAGGCTAAGAGAGAAAGATGTGTGATAACATTTAAATTACCTATCAATCATTGCAAATGCTAAAAACATTCTCTCCAACTTCAGAATTCAAGTTTGCCTATTCACCTTCCATTCTGTGGAACACAAAAAGGTAAAGACAACAAAGCTCAGAGGATAGGAAAGAACGAACAAAAAGCACATACAACCATAATGAATTATAAAGACATTTTCAAGGGAATGAGGAAAGCACAACACATCCCCAAAACATTGAGCAATGAATTCCAACATCGTATCTGCAAAGCTATTCTTCTAACACTTGAAGTGACACAAGTTTGGCTAAAGAATATTCAAGAAAAAAAGAAACTAATTTTCAAAACCGATAAAACTGACAATCAACACTCCAAATTTGGAGTGAAAAGAAAGTTTTTCCAATTTAGGGGAAAATTTTATATAGTAGGATTTTTACTAAAAGTTTCAGCTTATAAGTCAGATGTTATAGTTTTATAGTTTCAGCATTTAATGAAAAGAATACGTTCAAATATTCATTGACGCATTTTAGGTGCATTGCACATATAATTGTCTTTCAAATCAAAATTCAGAGAAGAGTACCAGATAGATAATAGCAGAGTCGTTCTTGATAGCAACTGATTCCTCCTCCTCAATCACATAATCAATCCTTTTCATGCATATACCAACTCAACTCCACTCCTTTTCACAATCAAATCACAATTCCCATTTTGCGAAAGAAATCTATATTTGAAATAGAATGATGCCCCATTGCATCAGGATGTCTGTTGAACAAGTCGGCAGGGAAGTATTGCCCCCATTGTATTAATGTTAATTACTTCAATCTTCAGAAATTACTTCATAAAAAAAAAAGGAAAGAGAGATAGAAAATACATACGTACCAAATTCAATTTATCAACTCCGTATAAGAAATCAGTTAAAATGCTGCGTGCATTCCGTCCTAGTTTCCAGCAATTTTTGAACAAAAATGTTTTGTAAATGAAAGGGCGAGTCACATGCTGTATGTTGAATCCATAGCACCCCGAACTTGATATTGTCTCCAGAGAAGTACATCCACTTGCATTAAGAAACCAAACAGACGATGGAAGTTGTGGCAAAGATCGAAGCTTCTTGCAATCTTGATGAAGTTGTATGATGCATGTTTAAAGGTATATTCTCAAATGGGTTCCCGCTTAGACTTAACACGGTTAGCCAAACTGGAATTTCTCAAATGGATAAAAGGCTCAGCCAAACTGGGTTTTCTACTATGTTGCAGTTACTTAGAATTAGCTGGTCAAAAGAGAACAATAAAACTTGCTTTATTTGGAGATGTTCAGGTTCCAAACACCCGTGGCGGGACAAGAATTTTAGACAACTTAAATAATAAATCCATCTTGGGACAAACTCGAGTTTTATGCGCCAACTCATATCTATATCTTGATGACGGAGCCCAAAAAACTTTTCAATTATAACTGAGTTGCTTAACACTTGGATCCCTGTGAATTGAGTCAAATTAACTATTGGACATGAATGCTTACTACACTTCCCTCTTGAAGCACTCCACCGGCCAGCCAAAATAAGAGGGATTAATCCAAAATTTTAGCTAATTAAGCTAGCTTGATAGGCTTAATTAAGAACTAAGATGAGATCAAACAATGTCTATAAAGGTGAGACCATTAGTGCAAGCATTAGGTTAGCCATTTTTGCACATCTCCTCTCTTTTTCCCCACACCCAAAACCGGCCACACTCCTCCATTCTCTCCCAAATATTTTCTCCCACTCTCCCAATCTTGAGCCACTAGCAAACCATAGAAGAAGAAGAAGGAGATCAAAGGGTCTAGGAGGAGTCTAGACAAGCATTTCTCCAAGGGTATAAACTCTAAATCCTCTCTTTTTTTTTTTCATTTTTTGGTAAAGATTGAAATTTAAAAATTTTTTTCTCAAATTTCCTTATACTCTTCTAGTTCCAAGCCATTAACAAATCTTAGAGGAGTTCAAAGGTTTTGAAGAGAGAGAGAGAGTTCTTCAAGGGTAAGTTCTTAAACTCATCCCTATTAACTTCTAGCCAACTTTAAGCTTGGATTTATGGATGTAAATTTTTGGTTCTTGAAGAGATAAGTTGTAATAAGGGTGTCTGAGTTTTATGTTGGTTTTGTGTATGTTTTGAGGTTAGTTTGATATGGCATGCTGATGCTTGATTTAAGTTTGCTTACTTTCGGTTAGAGAAAAAAATTTTCTGGTTACTTTGAACGCGAAAATGAGGACCCTAGAGCGAGATTTTTCGGTGTTTCAAAGCTTGAACTTATAGCCCTTGATGTTTTGAACATTTTCTGTAACTATGACAAAACCCAACTTTGACTCTAAAAACAAGTTTGAAGCCATTTTACAAAAAGTGGACAGGCTGTCCAACACAGTTTCAAAAAGAAAATTTTTGCTACAGCATTATTATAGCATCCGCAGCATTTTAACAGATTGCTGCAGCATTTCCTACAGCGAAAGGAAAAAAAATAAAACAGCAGCCACTGTTTTCATTCAAACGAGGCCTTTAGAGACTGAATTTCAACTTTTACCAAAAATGACAATTTTAGATCTCAACGAGACGAAGAATTGTCACGAAAAACAAAATTTTGAAATCTAACTCTAAGATGTAGTAAAACGCAGATTTCAGAAACTGCACAGTTTTTAACAAAACAAAACTAAAACAGTGTCGGTTTTAACAAAAAGTCATCAAAGAACCAGAGATAGGATTTCAGTAAAATACAATGGTATTAAACCTCTTTTTAACGAAAGTATTCGTAAAGAAATTTTTCAAGAAAAAAATACTTTCTTTAAAGAACTTAATGGTTTATCGAGCAAATAATCCTGACGGGCATCTACGAACCCAATACGATAGGTCCATTGAATTGGGAAGATTTGATGTGGGTCCAACGCCTGCATTAATTTAAGAGACTCCGTTAGAGTATAAATTTCAGCAGCCTAAGGGTTAGAATGCCATGTATAAGTCCTAAGCCGAATTGGGCCTTAATATCATAACAAGAAAAAATTAAGGAAAATAAGATTTCGAGAATTTGATAAATTGATCCTTATAATCCTTTAGTAAAGGAGAGGAATATATGCTTTATGGAAAGGGATAGATTTTTCTTCATAAGCTGCTAAAATAGAAAAGCAAACGACAGTTAATCTCACACTCTTAATGGGTGTTCATTTTCAGAAGAAAGCAAGTAAGAGACTAGACTGTTTGGCAAAAAGGAGATTCCAGCTTTGAAATCAAGTAAGTAGGAATCTCACCTATAGTATAAATAGATTTTAAAATGAACAGTACACATGAACTATATATGTTTGAGTACATTTAATGTTATGAATGCTATGCTATGTTATACTATATACACTTAAGCAGTACACATGAATTATATGTGTTCAAGTACATTCCATGTTATAGTATGCTATGCTAGGTCATATTGCATACACCTTAATAAGTCAAGAGGAACTTATAAGAATAATTTCAGTTGAGTGCCGTACCAGCCTCCGCAAGGGAGGTAACTCAAGCTCCGCAAGGGAGAAAAGAAAGAAAAACAAAATATAATAATGTCCTTCGCAAGGGAGGCATTCAGTTCAGTTATAATCACAATGTCGTGGGGGACCTTGCAAACCCTCACATCCCGATGATTGCGCGCAAGTGGTATGAGCACTCGGGCCCAAAAGAAAGAAAGAAAGATAAGATAAGATAATAAGATTCTGATAAGACATCATAATTAAGCATAATTGGCTCATGCATATTTATTCATGTGCACTTACAATTATTTTGTGAGAGGTAGTTCCTACTTGCTGAGTGAAAGCTCATTATAGAATGTTTATACTGTAGGTAAGCAACCGGCATATAATGCCTGATGGACTGACGGCAAGTGGACGAACGATGTGGAGATCAGAAAATGGATATCGCTCGCAAATATTTCCGCAATAAGCTTTATGTTATAAATAGTTTTGCTAATTATGACTCTGAAACTATATGTTAAATGGTTTTGAGGATTATGGCTATTAGTAAGTAAGACTTAAAGAGTAGATATATACATATAGATATATTTATATGCTTTGAGAAACAGATATGTTAAGATTTGAATATTTTGATTAAGAAAGCAAATTCGTATCTTATGTTTACTATAAGACTTTAAAAAAAAAAATGTTCCACAAATTTTAAGAAACTTCAGTGAGTTCAAGTTAAAAAGTTAACTACAGTGGTCACCTCATAGGAGGGCCGTCACAAGGATATCTATAAACTGGATACAAACACATAAAGTAGACTTAACTTTTTCAGTAATGCAAATCATACCATAAGATTCCAACTCAAGCTAAGTCCAAAGGTTTGGTTTAAAGTGACTGTCAGGTAGTCAATTTTGTCTGTGTAGGTTTTTATCAGATATAATTTACACTATTTTATGTTGGTCTACTAGTCAAAATAGTTGAATTCCAACTTTTGAATTTTCTTGGTCTTACAAAGTAGTGGTCCGAAAACTTGAGTTTTTACAAATTTAGTAAGTAATTGTGTTTTTTAAATAAAAAATAATAGGTAATCATAAACATTTAATATATGATATTCAACTTATTAATTAATATTATAGCATACCTGTGCACCACTCCAAAGTTGCTTTAGCTCGCTACAGGGTATGTCAAGTTCAACAAGATTTTTCCCCTTATAATTTGATGGCAAAGATTTTAATGGGTAGTTATACCAGCAAAGATATCTTAGGGAAGGAGGGAGAAACTCCAAACCTTGTGTAAGATATATTTTGAATTTATGATCATAGAAATGATCGTATATCTTGAGCAATCTCTGTCTATGCATCTTGTCGAAAACCGTAGGTTCCAAGTGTAGATCATCATCAATCTTAAACATGTCAAGGTATATTCCTTCGATTGCTCCGGTTCCCTAGAAATTTAAAGAAATGATAAATGAGAATATGAGTTATGAAAAATAAAAAGGAACAGTAACTAAAACTAATTACGCATAGAGAGAGATAGATAGATGTTATTCTATAGCCGCTTAATTAGAATTTAATACTGACTCCGTTATTTTCTAGAACATTATAGACATCTTGAGGAATCCACAACGGGCTACGCTCACCAGGATCTTTTATAGATTGTTGGCGAACAATTTCCCAACCCATCCCTTGTATCAAATCATGCTCTCTATAAAATCTCTTCTCTCCCCTTTAAGAAAACATGCAATATCGAGGAAAATATCCTTTGTCTAGAAAAGGTTATTTTCAAATCATGCTTTGTCTAGAAAAGATGTATGTACTGTTGTTCCTGTGGTTTTTCCATACTTTTTGAAATAGTTGATGAAAATGGCATGTATTGCATAAATTTCGTGTTTTGCTTTAGATACCCGTCATAGGTGTAAATTTAAAGAAACAAAAGGATAAATGTCTGTTTTGGAAACATCCTTAAGGTGGCAATACCAAACCATATGGAACAGTCTGCATTATCATTTTTGCAAGGTAGCCCCTGTTTTTAAATCATTTTCCAGTGTAGATAATATATTACTTTTGCATTGTTAACGTAATACGCTTGTTGTATTCTGTCCTTGTTATTTTGGGTCTCTCGTTGTCTTTTTTATTTATTTATTTTTTATTATGTATTTATTGTTTTTTGAACAGGCATACCAGAATGGAGATCTGCATATAGGTAAAGTCAGGTTACTGACCCTTGTTTAATTGGATCAAATATTACAAAGCTTTCTATCAAACACTGCATGTCCGTGCACACACAGTAAGGTTTTTCCTTGCTAGTTATTGATCTTATTATCTCTCTCAGGGAGCTCTCAATATGGACATAACAAAAAAACTTTTGTGTCTAACTGCGTTGGTCAATTCGTTATGATAAGCCGCCCACATGTTAGGTATTCTCTCTCCGAAATGTCTCTCATATCTTCTAAATACGCCCTCATGTTCATTTTAATCTTCTTTTAATCTTCTTATTTCTTTTGTTTGGACCACATATGGAATTTGTAGGATTTTTGTAGTTCGTAAGGAGAATGATCTCTTTGGAAATTTAGAGTAATTTGATTTTTTTGATTAGTGATTGCTGGCTTGTTTTGTATTTAGAACATTCTACGATGTGGAATTAATAGAACATTTCAGTATTGAATTTTTGTAATCCTTAAGCATTTGGAGATCTAATATGGACGAATCAATTTTTTGTGCTTTTTACATATTCGTTTGTGAAACTATATGTTGTTTAAGACTCAAGTTTTGTGAACTTGAGTTGAGTTGATTAAGTGAATTCATGTGAGAGAAAATATTATACAAGTTGAATTTGAATTTTTGTAAAAGGAAAAAAAAGTAGAAAAAATTTGAGTTGTGATTCGAACTTGTAACACCCCGAAGAATTAAATGGGATTAATTGAGATTATTAAGAATTATTAGTGTGTCTAATCTGATTTAATTAATTAGTTTTGATTAATAAATATTTCTGACGTGTAATTTAAATAATTTCAAGGTATTTAAATATTCTCAGTAATTTTATTTTAACCTAGAAGTGTGTATAGACGCATTTCAGGACTGTTTTTTTTTTAACGTTGGTTCGTATCTATTTTCTTTTCTTTTTTTCTTTTCTTTCTTTTTCCCTTTTTCCTCCTGTGCCACTCTCTCTCTCTCTCTCTCTCTCTCTCTCTCTCCTCTTCGTTTTCTCACTCTCTCTCTCTCTCTCTCTCTCTCTCTCCTCTTCGTTTTCTCACTCTCTCTCTCTCTCTCTCTCTCTCTCTCCTCTTCGTTTTCTCACTCTCTCTCTCGGTTCTCTCTCCTATCTTATCAATCACCTTGAAGAATTAAATGGGATTAATTGAGATAATTTTCTAAGTAAAGGCTTATCAGTCACCTCCTCTATTTAAGTTAGAGTTTACCGGAAAACCTTGAAAAGCGCCAACACATAAAAGACTAGGAGAGAAAGAGGTGTAATAACATTTAAATTACCTATAAACATTCTGAAAACATTCTCTCCAACATTAGAATTCAAGTTTGTCTTTTCACCTTTCATTCTATGTCACACAAAAAAGTAAAGACAACAAAGCTAAGAAAGGACGAACAAAAAGAACATACAACCATAATGAATTATAAAGACGTCTTCAATGGACTGAAGAAAAACACAACATATCCCCAAAACATTGAGTAATGAACTCAAACATCATATCCATGAAGCTATTCTTCTAATAGTTGAAGTCACACAAGTTTGGCTAAAGAGTATTCAGAAAAAAAAAAAAAAAAAAAAAAAAAAAAAAAAAAAAAAAAAATTTCAAAACCGATAAAACTGGCAATCAACACTCCAAATTTGGAGTGAAAAGACAGTTTTTCTAATTTATGGAAAAATTTTATATAGTAGGATTTTGACTAAAAGTTTCAGCATATAACTCAGACGTTATACTTTTAAAGTTTCAGCATTTAATGAAAAGAATACGTTCAAATATTCATTGACATATTTTAGGTGCATCGCATATATAATTATCTTTTAAATAAAAATTCAGAAAAGAGTACTAGATAGATAATAGCAGAGTCATTCTTGATAGCAGCTGATTCCTTCTCCTCAATCACATAATCAATCATTTGCATGCATATACCAACCCAACTCCAATCCTTTTCACAATCAAATCACAATTCCATTGCACCAGGATATCTGTTGAAAATCTAGATTTGAAATAGAATGATGCCTCCATTGCATTAGGATATCTGTTGAAACGGTTGGCAGGGGAGATTGCACATACACATGATCCGAACTAATATCACTACTTGTGATTTTATCCTCCTTATCACCACAGTAGATCCAGAAATCAAGACTACTGTGGTCATATTTGTGGATTTGACCGCACTTGGTTTTAAGATGTATTTCAAACGTAATTTCTACATGCTCAGAAGAATGGGAGCCTGCGCTTACTGGGATTATTGGACCAACAATGCAAATGGCAAAACCCATCAAATTAGAATTATGCCAACCATGGGGAAGCTTCATAGTTGTTGAAATTCCCTCATCTTGATGCCTGAACCACTTTGGAATTTCATTTCCCGGATAACATACGTTAATTTCATGACGTGCTTCTTCCTACATCACCAGACACCAATATATATGAATAATAGTGTATAAATGTTAATTACTTCAATCTTCAAAAATAACTTCAAAAAAGAAAGAGATAGAAAATACATACGTACCAAATTCAATTTGTCAACTCTGTATAAAAAATCAGTTAAAATGCTATGTGAATTCCGTCCCAATTTCCAACAATTTTGGAACAAAATTGTTTTGTAAATTGATAGAAATTCACGTTCCTCTTTAATGGAAATGAAAGGGCGAGTCACATGCCGCATGTTGAATCCATAGCACCCGGAACTTGATATTGTCTCCAGAGAAGTACACCCACTTGCATTAAGAAAGCTAACAGACGATGGAAGTTGTGGCAAAGATCGGAGCTTCTTGCAATTGTCAATGCCAAGTGTGTTCAGCCGATGAAGTTGTATGATGCTTGATGGTATATTCTCAAATGGGTTCCCGCTTAGATCTAATTCAGTTAACGAGGATAAAAGGCTCAGCCAAACTGGAATTTCTACTATATTGCAGTTACTTAGATCTAGCTGGTCCAAAGAGAACAATAAAAATTGCGTGACTCAGAGATATTTAGGTTCCAAACACCCAAGGTGGGACAAGAATTTTAGACAACTTAAATTTGACTCGGAGATGTTTAGGTTCCAAACACCCAAGGTGGGACAAGAATTTTAGACAACTTAAATAATAAATCCATTTTGGGACAAACTTGAGTTTTTTGCGCCAACTCATATCTTGACGACAGAGCCCAAAAAACTTTTCAATTATAATTGAGTTGCTTAACACTTGGATCCCTGTGAATTTTTTCCATCTCGAACAACCGCCAAGTTCAAGGAATTTAAGAGACTTGCATTTAAAAATGTTGGTTGGGAGACTCTCAAGCTTTTTGCATCGTTCAAGATTAAATACCCTCAGACAATCAAGACCCTCAATTGAAGATGAAGACACTTGTTCTATTGATGAGTCTTCCTAATACAATCTTTCTAGATTCCTCGGAAGAGTTGCTGGAAGATGCTTGATATGTTGACAACCACGAAGGCTCAATTGCACAAGACATTCTAATGACCCAATTGATAATGGCACTTGTTTTATTGATAAGTCGCGCAAATTTAAAACTTGTATATTTCTCGGAAAAGAAGCTGCTGGAAGATTCTTGATATGTTGACAACCACGAAGGCTCAATTCCGCAAGACTTTCAAAACGCCCAATTGATAAGGGCAATTCTTTTATTCCAGTCCCATCTAAATTTAAGTATTTAATATTCCCCGATATCTTTGAGAGTGATTTAATCTTAATGCAACCACGTAGTGTAAGAGATCCAAAACATCCTTGGAAATTAAGCAGAGGAACTTCAACTAAATTTATACAACCCTCAAGATTAATACTTTCTAGCTTTGGAGCTCGAGATAGATCTGGAAGTTTGATGAGATGTTTGGAATAACCAAGATTAATATGCTTCAAATTTTCAAGATTCTACAAGAAAAATAAATTAATTTAGTATATAACAATAATTTTTATTATTTTACCAAAAACATGTAATATGAAGTAGGTAATCATGAACATTCTACACATGATATTCAACCCGCAATATCAAGGAGAATATCTTGTTGCTTATCATCTAGCCCATCATAACTTATTTTCAACACCTTTTGAATTTTTGAATCGGGAATTAATTTTAGTTTGTTCAATGAATTAACCCAATATTCTATTGTTTGGGAATGAAGGGAGGAACCTAAAACTTTAAGAGCAAGCGGATTGCAGCCAGTATAATTTACTAACGCTCTTGACAGCTCCAAAAATGTCGTGGAAGGCTTTGTTCTAAAGGCATTGAACTGAAAGAGTTGAAGTGCTTTCTCAAAATCTAATTGTTTAACTTCATATACTTCCTTGTCAGCACTCAAAATCACTTGTTTGTCTCTTGTTGTTATGATGATTTTACTTCCCTCACCAAACCAACTACCATCTCCAATCAATTTCTCCAGCTGGTCTATATCATCAATATCATCAAGAACAATCAGTACTTTTTTACCTATGAGTCTATTTCTCACAAAGTGGTCGACTGTTTCTAGATTTCTTAGATCCAATAGCGTTGAAAACAATTTGATTTCTAGATGAGCCAGTCCATATTTCTGCGTATTTTCTCTAACATTTTCAAGAAAGCAGTGACTTTTAAATTGATAAAAGTACCGATTGAAAATAGCGCGAGCCAAAGTAGTCTTGCCTATACCACCCATCCCCCAAAGGCCTATGCCACGATGATTTGGTTTGCATAGCAATGATTCAATTTCCTCAAGGCATTCATCTATTCCAACAAGACCCTTAGAATCCATAGCAATTTGTGGCAAACGATTTAATTTTCTCCATATATCTTCCACAATCTTCTCAATTAATTCCGACTCATACCTAGCATAAATAGAAGAGAAATATATTAATACAAAAGAAGCATTACAAAATTAACAAATAAAAAGCATGAAAAAGGAAGCATCTGCATCTCCATCTAGTGAAACTTTCTAATTAAGACTTTTTTTTCAATTTACATTCCGGAACCCAAATAATCAGACATGATTTTGTAATTCTACTCAGAGAGAGAGAGGAAAACCAGTCAAAGCATAGTTTAATTTAACAAAAAAAACCAAAAAAGGAAAAGAAAAGAAGCAATCACTCACTCATCTTTTGAATGAAAGCCAGATAGATCAGCTGCAGCAGTCAAAGCATTTCTCCACTCCATCACTTTGTTCGGCTCGAAACATTCTTCGTGTGCGGCAAAGGCAATAGCATAACTTCCCTTCTGTTTTCTAATATCCGACGGATCGATGTTGTAAAAGACGGGTAAAACAATCTGACCTCTTTCATTCTTGCATCTGAGAATGTGCACGAGCTCATCCAAGCACCATCTAGAAGAAGCATACTCTTTCGAGAAGACGACTATTGAAATCTTCGATTCCTCAATTGCTCTCGAAAGTACAGGTGAAATTTTATCTCCTCTCTCCAGATTCGGATCATCTTTGTAGGTCCGAATGTGTTTCCGGCATAAGGCAGAGTAAAGATGACTAGTGAAGTTCTTACGAGTGTCCCCTCTGAAACTGATAAAGACTTCATTGTTGATCACGACAGCAGAAGAAGAAGAAGAAGCAACAATAGCCATATCGTTGGGAGGAAAAGAATGCGAAAAGGGTTTCTTCGCTCTTGTGTTGTGAAAGAAAGAAAGAAAGATGAATATTTAAAGGTAGAACTGCATGACCACGTGGTTTAGCAATTTCCTGGAAGGTAGAAAGAAGAAGAAGAAGAAGAAGAAGACCATCTAAGTCAAAAGAAGAAGAAAAAAAAGAAAGGTACGTGTACATCTTTAAATTATATTAAGAAAAAAAAAAAAACTATTAATAAGCATTTAGATACAATTCTGAACCGTCAGAGATTTGTTTGAAGATAACTTTTCTTTTTTTTCTTTTTTTTTCTTTTTTGTCTGGGATCCCTAATGGTAATAAATACAGAAAACCGAAATTCTTTTTCTTATTTTCTTCTTCTAAGCATTCTCAGCAGTTACAAAAATATGAATATAACCAAAAATTCAGAGAGAATATGTCTTAGAACACCAGAATTATAATCTACAATGTTACTTCTAATAACAAATTAATGAATTGTAGAAATCTCTGAAGAAGAAATAGCCATAAATTATGTAATAGAGCATATATATATATATATATATGAATTAACACAATGAACAAAATGAAGCAAAAGATTAACGTGTTCTAGACAAGAAATAAATGTGAAAACAAAACAAAGCAACATAGTAAATGAATTCAAAGCGAAAAAGAGTTTACCCAGAAAGCTTTTTCGACGAAACTAAACTCGATTATGGAGGAGAAAGATAACAATATAACGAACGTGGATAAAGAAGTTCACAAACAGATCTCAACTGGGAGACCTCAGACTCGGACAAAGTAGCTATAAATAGAGCTGTTCGAAGGAGAAATGAATAAATAATTAGTTAAAGCAACAGAGAGTCAGAGTCTATTGTGGTTTAGCAATTTCCTGGAAGGTAAAAAGAAGAAGAAGACCGTCCGTCAAAAGAAGAAGAAGAAGAGAGGTAGCATTTTTTTATTTTTTTATTTTTTCTTGTGTTACTGTAATGAAAGAAAATCTCTCCTCTTGCCCTTTCTCTTTTGGGTTCTTCAGCAATAGGCATTAGTCATAGTCATAGGCTGCAGCAGGCCGATATCTTTGGGAACAATTTCGTGGTAAACAATTTCCAGACAAGTGGTAAACAATTTCGTGGAAATGGGACAGTAGAAAGAAGTCAGTAGTCGACATAGATGGTGGGTTAGGTCATAGAAGAAAGAGAGAGGGTTAGGTTATAAATGGTGGGTCCCTGATTAGCTTTTTTAAACCAAATCTGAACAAAAAAGGAGATTTTAAAGAGATTTTTAATATCAAAGCATAGATCAAGATAAAAATCTTTAACACTCACTTTAGATGTTCGGATCTAGTTTGAGGTAACCCTATTTCGTCAAGTTCAATAGATTTTGTTATAAACCGTCGATTCGAAGACGATTATGAGATTAAATTACCCAACATAAGATCACGCAACAATCTTATGCGGAAAAGAAAAACTCCGATGGCTTAACTCCTCAAGATGTGTTCACTTTAACACATGCCACAAATGCTTAAAGACGGAGAGCATTGGATATTAAAGTATAAAACTATTGTCGGAGCTTATTCGCTCTCACCCTGATTTGGTATGGGAAGTGGATGAGAAAAGCCAAACCATCTTCCATGTTGCTGTGTCGAATCGTCAAAACATAGACTGAATCCTGAGCTTGGAAGAATATTGCAATTACAAGAGGAGTTATTATGGTTTGAGGTAACCCTATTTTGGAAAGTTCAATAGATTTTGTTATAAACCGCCGATTCGAAGACGATTATGAGATTAAATTACCCAATATAAGATCACGCAACAATCTTATGCGGAAAAGAAAAACTCCGATGGCTTAACTCCTCAAGATGTGTTCACTTTAACACATGCCACAATGCTTAAAGACGGAGAGCATTGGATGAAAGGTACAGCTACATCATGCGCGCTGGTTTCCCTGCTTCTTCTTCTTTCCACTCTCGTTTTTACTGCGATTGATAATGAAGAAAGAGGTTCGGTTTCGTCTTACGTTCGCGACATGTCGGAATCGATAGCGTTAGTTTCCACCTCAACCTTAATGTTCTTCTCCATTCTCACATCAAATTACGGAAAAGAGGATTTCCTTCGTTTGCTGCCCTTCAATAAGTTAAAAATGGGACTTGTTATTCTATATATTCTCCTCTATTTCAAGCATGATGGTAGCATTAAAGTGGGTTCCTGTTCTAACTTATTCTCGTACAACTGTTCCAACTTTTTTGGAAATTGTGGGATTCTACGTTTGTCTTTAGATCTTTAATGTCAGGGAAAGCCAAGTATCATGTGCTTCCCAAGTAACCAACTTCCAGCTTGTTCGTGGAGTCACAGGACGCTTGTGGTGAGCGCTTTTTGTGTTTTTTAATCTACTATATAGAGTTTGTATCCCAGGATTTGTATGACGTATTAACTTTTATATATATACTTTGGCTCTTTGTATTGTTAGAAAAATTATTTTAACTGTTAACAAAAAAAAATTAAGTAAAAGCATATGTGAAAAAACTTACTTTCATAAGAGTAGAATGAGGAAAAATATATTTTAAAAAACACACGTAAAAAATTATAAACTGTAACTAATAATTTCAGAAGTGTAAAGGGAAAGAAAATATAATTTTGGAAAACACACGTAGATGTTTAAAAAAAACATCTACAGAATAAAAAATAAAAAAGCAAAAGACTTAAAAAGAAAGAAAATGTAGATAAAAAGGTAAAGAAGGGAAAAGAAAAAGAAAAAAAGAAATTGAGGACTTAGCAGTAGCTTTCGGCTCTTTTTTGTATTAATAGAGTTAGATGAAAGGTGTTAAATATTCGGAAGAGGAAAAAGTTTTTATGGAAAAAATATAACATGCATAGTGTGGAGTTTTATTTACAGCTATTTTATACTAAGTCCTTTAAATTTGTATCACAAGTTTATGAACTCTACGTAACAAGTCCATTTAGCTAGAATTTTTATGATATTTGCTCATAAATATTATGGAGAACAAAAATAATATTATTTTTATTAATAAAAATACAATACTTTATTTCTCACAATATCATAAACATCGATTCTTATTATTAAACTTTTCTCCATCCTTTTTCTTTATAGAAAGGAAAAAAAAGACATATAAATCTTTTGGTCTTTCACAAAAGTATTAGTATGTAAGACAATGGGACAAATTGCCGACATAGGAATCTCAATCTTATGTTTGGGAGTCAATATTCAGTAATATGTAGTCTGTCAAACACTATTTGTGGGCAAAGATTGTGTGCTTTTGATTATAATTAAAAAAAATATTTTCTTGAAATATAACATATCATTATTCTAGGAACATATGGACGGGCACCCCTGTCATTTTTGAAATACATAGCAATAGTTAAAAGAGAAAAAAAAAATACATAGCAGCAGTAATTTGGTAGTTCTCAAACCCAAATCCCCTGTCCATTGTATCCATTAATTTATTTTATTTCGTTTATGCCATTTATTGAAGGGATGATTTGTCAGTAAATAATTGGTTAGACAGAGAAATTGACAGATAAAATAGACAATGAATTTGAGTTCAGAGTTCACCTAGTTTGATACAAAAATTAGAACACAATTTTGTTGTTCCGTTTGTGCCATTTATAGAGGGGATAATGTGTCAGTAAATAATTAGTTAAACAGAGAAATTGACAGATACAATAGACAAAAAATTTGAGTTGCAAGTAGAACATAAACAGTTGTTACAAGTAATAATTGATAACCACTATAAATCAAGTTTGGGAATCAAAATTCTATGTAGCAGTAAGACTGTCACGCCCCAAAGCCGGGGTTAGTGACGTAGAGGCTCGTTTAGAAGTTAAATATGATTAGGAGGGTAATTAAACAATTGAAATTATAATAATTAAAACCAAAAGTAAAATATTAAAGAAATTTTCAAACGAGCCCCACATTTAGTTGAAAATATATTACAAGAAAGTGACGGGGTCTGCCGCACTTTCTGATTTCAAGAGGTTAAAAATTGAGCCTCTAACTTCATTCAGGGCTTCACCACTAGGATATATTGTATTGTACATACATGAACATGTAAAATAACATTACAGACATCAACCACAGTCTAGAAATCCAAAGTTCATAGTTTACAGAATTTACAATTCTTACATTTGTACACAGGGAGGATGATCACAATCCTCACTAAATCAAACGGTAACAGTTATCTCAGCTATTCAGCACTGCTCCTAGCATCACCTAGGAGGGATTTAATATTATAAAACAAATAAAACATGAGCAAAAGACCCAATAGGATGTATTTTGAAATAACTTTTATAAACAAAGAAATAAATTAGTGAATAAGTAAATAGATGAATAAAAAAATAAATATAGATATTCAGTTCCAACACAACAGTCAGAACCTCACATCCTTTTTCTGAAAGGAAATATAAACGGAAACTTTTCGTATTACAGGCATCAACAAGTAATTTCTCATCTAATAAATTACTTACACAACCACAAGCACAAGCCTTATCACCACCGTAGTGGCCCGGTCCGGGTTTTGGGTTCTGTCGTCAAGGATACACTATCCATATTCTATCTAGGCCATCAGTTGGTTTACCGATTCGCAAGATCTCTTATCTTAAGAAATCATTCATTAAGCTTTCTAAAATAGTTCATTATGATTCCAATAGCTAAAATCAAGCTATTGTTTTAAAAATGATTTTATTTCGCAAACATGCCCTTTCTTTAAAACAATTTGCAAGGCCAAAACTCTTTTAAAAACAGGTTATCCAAGAAAAGGGTAAGAAATCCTACCTCTCAAATACCAAATATGTGGCTAGCGTTGCACTATTCCGGCTTTTGCTTCCTCAAAGCCTTCAATTCGACTCCTCATCTAACACTGATACAAAATAACACTTTAGGATCCAATTCTCATTCCTAAAGCAATTCAATCATGATTATACACCTCAATTTCTTATTAGTATGCCATAATTCAATTATCGATTTAATAAATCATTTCATGTTTCAA